CGCTGCGCCGAGCCGGGCCGCGCCCGCTGCGTCCGTGGGAAGGTGGGCTGCCCCGGTGCCCGTACCGCGGGGCCGGGAGCCGCCGTGCAGCCTGAAAGCAGGGCCGTGGTGAGGGCGGGTTTTCCTGGCACTGTGTTTCCGTTTGCCCTCAGCTTGGGCCTGGAGCTGGGGCTGTCCTAAGCCTGCCTGGAGCAAGGCGGGTGGGCAGAGAACCTGCGTGAAGACCTCTGCCTGCCCCCTCGGTGCCAGGCCTGAGCTGAGGCCTCCTGCTGCCCTCGCCCCGGCTGCAGTAGCTGCGAATCCACGTTGACATGGGGTCTGTTAGAGCTGATAGTCACTGTAAGGCTTGAGCTGTGATTGCAACTAATACCTGTGGGGCAAAAGAGTCTATAATCTCAGTACAGAGAGGAAAGGTTGATTATGTTCCATTATATATGTTTTGACATCACACATGTAAGAGTTTGGCTAAACTTTATCCTTCCAGAGCACACAGCAGGAAAATTGTGCTTTACAGACAGTATAGAACACATTTTGTTCTATCTTCATCTGTCCCTTTTTTTTTTCTGCATAGGTGAGCAGTGGGTATTGATATGGACAGTGTTTCCTCAGGCTCTTCTCTGCAGTTCCTTGCCAAACTGCTTCATGATGCTCAAGAAGAAGAAGATGATGATGATGATGAACATGGGGTGAGTCTTTCATAAGAAATGCTGCTTCTTTTACATGTTGTACCATAGCCTAACCTTGTAATCTGAGGAGAAACAGATCTCTCTTTTACCAGAGTGAGTAAAAAGAGAATGAAAACCTTAGAAGGTTTTGGACTGACTGAAACAGCTAGAAGTTATTTTTAGGGTAACAAGCTCTTGAAGGAGAGAATAAGGAAAATGCCCCAGGAAAACAAGGAGAGATTGTGACCACAAAATGGGAGGGAGATTTAAGTTTTCAGCCTGAAGGAAATAAGAACACATAGTTGAAAGAGCTTTAGATACTTTAGAGTTCCCCCTACTTTTCCCTGAAGTCTACCAGAGATGAAGGTAATTACAGCTAAATACTTCATATGAAGGGAAAAAAGTTGCTGCTCAACTTCTGAGTAAAGACTAAAATATCCAGAGGCGACTGAGTGTGCTAAATCTGTGTTAGGCATTGAAGAACTGTAGAGATAATTGACCCTTGAAGTACCATAGATATGTTGGTGATTGTAGAATAGGGAAGGTTGGGTAATCATTCTAAGGTGAATGATTTGAATGATTAATGAGAGAAATACCTTTCCGTTCTTCTATATAATTCATCTCGGGACTAGATGAAAATCACAGCTTTTGGAAAATATATGTTGTTCTTGCAATATGCAACTGCTTTTATCTAGGCACACGTGTGCTGAGGAGAAATATCCCCGGGGGCCACAGGTGGCAACAATCACAATGTAGAAGGCCTCTGTGAAGGCTCAAAACTTTGCCATGTCTCTTAGGATTTTCAACAAGTCATGTTATGACTTGGATGACAAAAATGGCAAATGCCTCAGTGCTCTTCCAAATCACTCCTCGACAAAGAGCCAGCTGGATGACCCAGCAGTTGTGCACTAGTAGTGGCAATGGTAGTAATATTTGGGATAAAAGGGGTGTATATCCCTTGAAATTGCCTTTCAGTAGGCGGTAGATGTGGTCCTTCACACTAACTACCCTTCAGCTGTTTAATGCCTGCCTTTTAGAACTAGCATTATTGCTGTACATCTTTGCAGTAAACATCCTGATTTTAAAAGAATTTGTTTACATCTTATTAATAAAATGAATGACACTTCAGAGACAGAAATGGAAAATTGCCACAAGGGATGTCAATTAAATCTGAGTCAATCTGGTGAAATTGAAATCTTTAATTTGATTTAATTTAATGTTCTGTGCATATGAGGCACTTTTATCAAACCAAGGAATCTTCATATGTAGAGAAATGCCTCACATTTGCCTATTAGCACTAAATGGATTCATAATTAGAGGAAAATGTGGTTGCCTCATATGATCTCTACTGTCAAAAGGAATCCAAATGCTCTGATGGGGTTTTCATGTAGCACCCTTGGTTTCCTGCAATGTTTTCATGGCAGGCAACGCATGGAAATTTTGCCAAAATGCCATGGAAACTAATATTCAAAAAGCACATCTGTCTGTAATACTGTGCTTCTGGGAGTCCTGCTTAAACCCAGTGTGTCAAGGTCGCTTTCTGCTGTGTGAGAGTGAAGAAGAGAGAATGTTCAGTGGTTCGGTCATGAAATTGTGGGATAATATTTTTTGGATTCTAGCAGGGATTTGTTTGACCTCAGATAACATTTTATATTTATTGACATTCTTGTTGTTACTGAGCTGGGCTCTGTGAAAATTGATTGAAGTTCCATTTGCCTTTTTTGCAGCCACACTGTTCTGTTAGCGCCATGACTCCTGGTAGTATTGGGCCAGTAAAGAAAGAGACCACTGGTAAGGAGAAGTGTTTGTATGTTTTAGCATTCAGTCCCATGTTAGCAGACTATAACAGCTATAGTAAGTTACCACTGATCAGGTTTGCTTCAGTAAGAGAGTGGTCACTGACCTTTGAGATGGAAATAGCATTACATTTTTACAATTACACTGTAAAATTCTTCTTTTCCTGAAAGCTTAACTGCAAAATATACAAAGAGAAGCAGAAAGGGTGACTCCAGAGCACAGCAGCCTCAAGTGGTGATGATAAACAGAGTACAGAGCACAGCCTGGTCACGGGCTGAGGGGAATCATAACTGACCAGCAAAAAGCTCCATATAAGTACTCTCATGGAATTGTTAATGCTTAACTTAGAGCAAACAAGGAAGATGGACTTCTAAGTACTCACCTGAAAGGATCTTCATGGAGTAAACTGTGTGGAACTGAGCCTATGCCTATGAGGAGGAAGAGCTATGAAGTGTATTGTGAAATGCAGTCATACCATATTCCCCCCAAAAGTTTCACAACCCTATTTAGACCACATGGGAAGAAAAAGAAGCTTTGTTCAGTGCTGTCCTCAACAGACCAAGAGATTTTTTCAGTTATTCTCCTTCCTGCACCTAGTTCTTTGCCTGGAAACCCTGGACAATTACATGCTTTAACTGACTCCAGGTGTTCTGGCATCATATAGAAAGGCAGACTCTCAAACAATGAGAACAAATATCTTGAGAGTTCCTAAATTTGTGTCAACATCTTGGATTGTACTCAGGAAAGAAAGGAAGACGAGTTTAGTCTTGGCAAAGTTAAAGTTCTTCCTGGAGCTAATGCTGTCACATTATTGGGCAGCTTAGTTACGAGCCATAAGAAAGGTCAACAAGGACCAGGATGAGTGTAGCAGGAAAGGAACTGGGGCGAATATAACAAATAGAGTATTTTTGCTTGGGATTCCAACAATAACCAGCGATTCTATTATAAAAACCTTCAAGTTGCAGATTTACCAGCTCATCAGAAAATATGTTTTTCCATGTAGGCCAGGCATAAACCATCGTATTCTGCCTATGAACTTTCATGTGTCTTCAGTACTTTATCTGGGCTGTACTCAGTAATTAATGGGAAGAACTGGTTTTTTATGTGAGGAGGAGGTCCTTTTGTATATGACTGTGCTCGCTTAAAAATCTCATGTCAGGGGGCTTGGGGAAGATTGATTTTTCATCCTTCTACACTTTACCCATTTTGAAGTGCTTGACATTTTATGCCTGAAAGGAGGATTTCCTTGACATAGAGGCTGGGTGAAGGAGATTTAAGGGAAAGGAAGAGAAAACATCCTCCCTCTGCAAATTCTCATTCATAAGATACTGAGGTGAAGGAGACTGTAATCATTAACTAGAATGCTTTTAATACAAAGATTTTTCTAAAGCCCAGAAAAATCTAAGTTTTCAGCAAACCTAGAGGAACAGAGACATTCCAAAATATGACAGTGTGATTTTTCTCATCGCTTACAGGTACTTTTCAAGTGAAATCTGAAAACAGGAAAACTATTTGGAATACAGAGGAGGTCCCAGAAGGATCTGAATTTGATGATACCTGGGACCCTAGAGAACAGCCAGAGTAAGTGAGCTGCGACTGCCTGCATGGGATTTACATAGCATTAATGGAAATATGAGTTAAACAGCACCTACTGCATTTCAGTGAAACAGCCATTTGAAAAGCTTGTGTCATGGAAGGAGAAAGGAAGGATATTGGTGTTGCATCTAAAGCAACACGTGAGGAGTGATGTTAACCTCTCCCTTGGAAACCTTCTGATCTCATAACAGAAATGTAGAGTTGGTTTTTCTCATCATAAGATTACTTGCAGGTTGATACACTTGTATAAAGTGAGATTAGGAGGAGTAGTAGTCAAGCAAAATTATTTACTAGCTTTCAAATATGCCATTTGGGTGAAATACCTGTCTTTTCCCGCTGCAGCCGAGATGCATTCATTTTTCATACTCATAAATTCATAAAGTACTCCAACTTATATTTGCATTTCAAAGAATTAAGCTCTCTAGACACAAATAGTACTACAGGAAGGAAGGTTATATGCAGGCAGTTTTGAACTTTTAAATCTTGTCTTCAATCTTAATCTGTCAAGGGACAGCCTAAAATCAGTCTTTTCCCTTGCTTGTAGAAAAACAATAATAAAAACATTCTTGAAATAGCTACAATCAGGCATGTTAGTTGTAGTTTGTAGAGGTCAGAAAGCCTTCAGGGTCAATCCACAAAGCAGCCTTTGCATTTCTAATCATTGTGTTCTGATACCATATCCTGGACTGCTAAATGCTGGAGCAGATGGACTGAAGCCTATGAAGCTGCATATTGTACGCTAGTTTGTAGTCCAGAATCCTCATTTTTCTCTGCACGTAAGTCATGCCATTAGGTGTTCAATTTCCTGATCTAAACATGGAACTGAGACCCACTTGAACTTAGATTCAGCATTTCTGAAAATGATTTGGCATTCACCAATAGCCTCACATACAGTTGTTCTTGAAACCGTCACCTGTGAGGTATAGAACACGCTCTCTTTGTATTGTGGGCACAATGGAAGCTTTTCTCATGCCATCTTTTGACCCTTCCCCTCCATGCTCCATGCTGGGTAAAATGCAGTGTTCTCTAGCGTCAAGCAATTATGACCTGTGTTGCACAGATGAAGAGAGTATGAGTCTTTCTAAAAATTCATCAAATTGAATCAAGGAAAATGGCCCAAAAGGAAAACAGATGGCTAGAGAGGTGCATCCAGAGCTATTAGACAGAATTCTCATTGACTTAGGAATTATTACATACACATATGAACACTGGAGATGTGAAAAGACTTTCCATACACTTTTTCCAACAGCTTAGAGAAGTGACACACTCCACTTACTTTGCTCAATTTAGTAGGAGTAATGCATGTTCTAAATACAATCTTTAGTTTGTATTTCCTTATTCATTATCAAGAGCAAGGGAGTATGTGATTCTACATTTTGTAGATGTGGAGGGGTAGAAAATAAATGTTGGCCGAATGCAGAAGAATTAAAATTTGATAAAGGAGTGTTATGCTCAGGCTGCAAGAATATGTTGAATGACAGAACAGAACACATGTAATTGTGACAGCATCCTTTTCAAATCTGTTTCCCAATAGTTTGCGGTGTTTGACTAGTTGATAAGTATCATATTCACTTAGGATGCATTTCCTGATCCTGCAAAGGCTGGTTAGTGAAGTGGAGGCAGCAAAGTGAGTGCCTTGGAAGGTGGTGATCTTCACCTGTTTTCTAGCTAACTCAGTCACAGCTCTGAACGGAAACCCAGTGCATATGGATTGAAGACTTGAAGGGAGACTGAAAAGGAGGAGAGACAATGCGATGAGGATATTTATGGTCCTCTGAGAAATACAATCTCCTTTAGTCTCCTGCCCCTTCTGCAGTATTATGAGGCAACTACTTCTCTTTGTCAGGTATCAGATTTTATTCAAACAGTGTGTGGGAACAGAGGATGTCTTCTTTGGGATGAGCAGGAAAGACCCCTCCACAGCCTGCTGTGAAGAAATGGTGGTGAGCTGAACCTGTATCTCCCATCCCTTCTTTGTGCTCTTTCTCTGCCCTTTTTAATCTTGCCTCCTTCTTGAGGGACAGAATGTAAACACTAAACTGTATTGCTGCCTTTGGCCTCCTGGAGTATTTTCTTGTAGTTCTTCAAGCGTTTGTAGATGATATTTACACTTGCTAACCTAATGTGTATCTCCTCAAGGACCTAGTGTACTCAAGAGAATCTGTGCAAATGCATATGCCACATACAGACTTGAGGAAAATAAAAAGTAGCTCTAAGATGAAGTTTCATATTGGACACAATTTTGGAGGGGAGAGGGGCTGGGAAGGAGAAGGTTTTCATCTGCCTAAATTTATTACAAGCTATGTAAGTTAGCAGAATGCTACAATATTAACAGTCTTTAAAGTTACAGGTATCAGATCCTGTTCCATTATTATATGATCAAAGACCTCCCTGATTTCTGAACTTCAGGACAGGTAGAACTGCTGTGCAATTTTTCTAGTAGCAAGCTGTCCTTGGAATACACAAAGCCAGGGGGTTTTGCTGCATGTAGAATACCTGTCAAGTACATTATCAGCTCAGGATTTTGCAGAAAATAGGATATCAATACACATCACTAAGCTATTGAAAACAATGATTATCGCTGTCATATTTTCTCTGATACAAATTACCTACTCAGAATGTTGCTCTTTGACACTAGCATCAAAATATTGATGAAGATGAGATCTTTTATGGCTTGTAGGGCTACATATCTAATCACAGCTTTACCTCTGCTCATCATTTCAGATTAAAATCAAGCTGCCAGAGACAAACTACTCAGACATCGCATTAGATATCCAGGACAAGGTTCTTGACCTTCGAACTCCCAAAAAGTAAGTGAAACACAATTGATAGAAGTACAGTTAATATATTGTTTGAAAGGAGTTTTAACCAAGCCTTCAACTGAATGCTGTGTGGAAAGCAAAGCTAAAGATGAAGATCGGATTATTAATTGCACATGAGAAAGATAGAGACAAAAACAACCATAGTACATCCGTAGGTGTATAGTGTGCTAGCTTTGAATCTGTGCTACTGTTCTAGCAAAAATAGCTTTAAGACAGATTTTGGCTACTTAAACAGTAAGGCTTCAAAGGCCCAAAACGTCTGGCAAAAAACTGCCCACGGTCTTGAAGGACTTGTTGGGAGTTTGCTTTCTAAATACTAATTTGTACAAATATATAACAGGAGATGGTAAAAAATGTGCAGATACATTTTCAGAAGTTGAAAGCCAAATTGTGGACATATCCAGGCATGGATGCAGAGACAGAAATGTTACAAAGTTTCCCTAAAAAGATTTCCTTTGAGTTCTTTTTTTATAGGGCTATTTCAAACCTACAAAGATAATCAACTGACTGATATACTCTCAGACTTCTCAGTCTTCCTCCGTATTTCCCTCAGTGTGCAATTGCACTGCCTGAGATTTCCAGGTAATTCCCATGTCTGTTTTGCTTTAAGTCCTCCTTCACAGTAGAGCGCTTTCATAGGAAAGCTTAATCCTCTCTGGGCTGACTTGCTGCATTGAATGGGATGTGGGAAGATCCATGTGTGAATAGCTTCCTGCAAATAAATTCAAGGTGCAGGCCATGGATTAAGGCCCAAATAAGTTCTGTCTCTAGTGGACTAACTACAGAAAAGCTGCCTTTCTCACAGACAGAACCAAGCTGAGTTGGTTACCCCCTGCTTGGATTTAACCCAAGATGCAACAGGAGTGGAAGAATGTTTGGAAGTGCTAGCTCTGAAACTGGAAAATCAGGAGTAATTGCTAATAATCTGCTAATGACTTGCAGAACCTATAGGTAGTAAACAAAGTAGCTTAATGCAATAGTGCAGATGAAGGAAAACCTCAGCATCCTTTTTCTTTTGCAGTTCTATCTTTTTGGTGACTCAGATCTGCCATTATCTTCTTAGTATCCAGCTGTCTCTAGTCACAAGCCGAGAAAATAAAAAGTTTGCTGTAAATCTAATGGTTGCTTGGGTACAGCCTGAGCCAGTGCTACTTTCACAAATATAAGTGCAAGTCTTCTCAGTGTGAAAGAAACAAACAAGATTTCAAGTTCTACATACTGAAAAACACTGTACTCTCACAGATGCGTAGGAGGGCTCAAAGGAACTGTTTCCAACTCTGTAGTCCTGGGGCTGATTCTAAGCCAAGCTGATTTCAAGGACTTCTCCAAATTATAGCAGATGGCTGCCTTCAGTAGGTGTGGTGCAAAGGTGTTTTGACTGTACCTCTTTCAGTCATGGCTCCTACAAGACAGCTGAAAAGGTCTGAAAAAGAATCAGCATGACTTAAAACCCAAATTAAAGTAACCCCCATCAATGCTACCATGTTGTCTTGTTGGGCTTTATAGAGTTTGGCTGGGCAGATCTCTTGATTCTAAAGCGTCCTTGATTCTGTTTGCACTGTCAATAGAGTGGAGGTCCAAGACTGGCCTATCATTCATATTGTTAATATATAAGCCTGGGATAAGAGGGGAAAGAGTCCAGACTCTGCATGAGCAAGTAAGTTTGAACTGTTGTCAATGAGAAGAGTTGAATGGGTCCAGACTGAGACATCCTCATGAGGAGATACACTGGAAGGCTTGTCAGCCATTCCAGGAAAAGCCATCTGTCTAACATAGCGAGGGACTAGCAGAATAGCTCCTGAGTCTGAGATCCAGCCTTTTGTTGTGTATTATGTGCCTGAGCCACAGGTAGGGAATCATTGAATTAATCTTCAATGTGGGTTAAAAGCTCAGCAACTTCATAACTGTAAGTCCATTCTCATACCTGAACTGTGCTTTGCTGTGTAGACATATCCTTTGTGAAACTGGACTGGCCAGAATCTGATTAGGCTGTACCACTTATTTCTTTCTACTAGAGAAGACAAACTCCTGAAGACACATTCAGGCTTTAGGCATTATTCAGATTTTTATCACCAGGAGAGCATTACCAATGCAGCTCCTCCTTCCTCTGCATTTAAAATGCAGCACTGTGCAAAAGCAAGAACAGTGGGGAGAGCCTACAATCCATCATTGGAAACCCTTGTCATAGCCACAGCCAAAAGAAAGGAATAGTGTTGGAAATATGAGGGCCTGTATAGCTGTGCACCAGGTATTGCAGGAACGCCACAACCTGACATGAGAACGAGATATATGCAAAGAACATTCCTTGGTATACTGATTGGTCAATTGCAAGAGTAACTTGCAATGCCATCTCAATTGCTCACCTGGTCTGAGACATTGAAATTCACTGTGTCCTCTTTTACAGGAAGCTGCTGCTGCACCTCCCCTACCATGTAGACAGCAAGAATGGTAAAGCTTGTTTTCTCTCTGAAGAGGAGACCTTGGAAGTCACCTTGAGAGTATTGAGGAAGTTTGATTTCATAAATTTTGCCTGATGGATAGAGAAATAGAGAAAGTTTGCAAAAACTAGTATCTTAGTTTGAAGTCTTCCTGAAACCTAACTGGTCATGAAATAGTAGATTGTTTCCCTTGAACAGTCCAGGGGGAATATCCCTGGAGAAATTGAATGAGTCAGGAGGAACATAGCACCCATAGGTTCTATAAGCTGAGGCTGTCCAGCTCTTGTGCTGCTCTGGTTAATGTTCTGCTTCCTTCAGTCTTATACAGGCTCTGTGAATCAGAAAATAGATTCCAATTCTGTAAGCCAGAGAAAGTCTTTTTGTGGTCATGGCTGATAAGTAGCACAATGAGGCTCTGGCCAAGGTGTCTGGTGCTTAGTTACTGTTGCAAGACTTGCAAGTGGTAATATTCTTGCTTGGCCTCTAATGCTCGGACTGGGACCAGTTCAGAATCTCCTCTTAGCTACTTCTTGATGAGAAGATCAAAGCTCTTCAGGGATCCATATCCACATCTGAGGCTCCTTTACACTGGCAGAACAAGGTAACCAACTATAGTTGGATTGTTGAACAGCTCAGCTCTTTTGAACAATTTTTGACAATGTATCATTCAGTGTAATCTATTCACCAGCTATTTTTCTGATCTTTCTTGATTAATAAAAGAATGTGTTCTAATGAACAGTTCCAGTTACCTTTCACTCTGCCTTCTCTATATTATGTCCTGAGAGACTTCCTAAAAGTGAGATAAGAGGAATTTTGCATAACAAAGCATCACTTAAAGGGCTGAAATGTGGCAAAAGCTTTTCTTTGGCCTTCAGGTCCAATCTAGAGCTACAGAGATGGGTAACCACAATGTTTCTCTTACTAGCTGCTGGGCAAATATATTCATTTAACATTGTTAATCATGCAGGAAACAAAGTTTTTTGCTCAATGATCAAAGTGGAGAGGACAAGCTGGGCCTTGCATGTTGATGGACTTTAGGTACACTTAACCAAAAGCTTGTAAGCACTTTAAAAACAAAATGGCTTGGGTTCTGCATTCTTCTGGTGTAGAAGTAGGGGAAAATAATTGACCAGCTAGGTTGCAGACAGTACCCATGCAGCTAAATTTGTGGCAGGCTGTAATGAGAAGATGAATTCTCCATGATGGATTGAAGACACTGACAATGAGTTTCCAAGTATATTTTTTGTTTTGTCAGGAATTTTCAGAATTCACAGTATGTTTGTAATATACTGCATTATAACTCTAGGACAAATTAAGCTAGTTTCTAGACATTTCAACCACTTCTCTTAAAAGTGGACCCATTGCTTGGGTCAGAATAATACTACCCGACCTCTGCTTTAGTGTTAATGCACTGGAAAGCAGATGCCTCGGTTATGATTCATCACAAGCTGTCTAATATACTGATAACTCTAAGGGGCCACTCCAATTTGTATTTGCTTAAGTTTCCATAAATTGCATTTGAATGTCTCTTATTCCTACTCTACAAAGCTGTGGTGGAGGGGAACAATGCAGATGTATGAAAAGGCTGAGATCATTCCTCCTGACTCAGTTTGTACTGCCTGTGGCTGCCAAGAAGTTACAGTAAGGCTGTTTCTTGGAAAAAGGTTGTCTTTGTGGTCCCTAGACAATATGCTGCTTCATTTTTGCATTTCTTATACTGATTACAAGAAAAGTGGAAGATTGACCTGTATTTATATACATGTGAATATAACATTTGCCCAGATTCATTCAGTAAATCCACAGCAAAGCAGAGTATAACTCTGTTCTTCCTGAGCCCTATTACAGTGCTCTACCCACAAGGTAATGTTGCCTTTATAGTTGGCAGTAGTAATTTCCTAAGCCTTAAATCATCAAATTCTGCTTAATTTAATGTCAATGTTTGATACTGAAAACAATTATGAGTTTGGCTCATCATGCACCTCTCCAGTGTTGTAGTTTCCTATGGAAATGAGCATATCCACACTGGTATCCATGTCCTATTTCCTCCCTAAATATTTTTTAACCTGGGGGCATTTTATCTGCATTCAAGAGACAAAAATCTGAGGTAAGTGTGTTTTATAAGAAGGTTGGCTGCTGAATAGAAAAGGGAAATAGAAATTAGTACTGCCTAAGGGGGCAGTTCTAGTGTGATTTCTTGCACCTGCTGGCCAGTCACTCTGTACACCCATACTCCAGGCTACAGTAGGGCATCCACACCACTCCGTGAGGGGAAGCTGGCAAGTTGGTGACATAGCAGGATAGGGAAGATATTGCAGGGAAAGGGAGATAGCCTGGTGGGGGGAAGCAGAAATCACGGTGTTAGGGTATATGAACACAGGGGACAAACTCATAGGAAGCCAGGCTTTGTGTTTTCCACTGCTCAGAAGGACAAGCTCTACTGCTGTTTTCAATAGAGTAGAAACATTGGTCTGGGGGTGGGCAATTTGCTGTTCTGATCAGGTCCATTGCCTGAATGCACCATCATCACCTGGAGATCCTCTCACTTTCTTACTTTCTTCCTATCAAGGAGACAGAGGCTGCCCTAGGCAAAAGGTTGGAGTTTGTTTGGGTTTTTTTTTCCATAGATCATCACAAGAGGAGACTGGTGAAAAGGACATGCAGGCTTGCTAAGCTTCCCAGAAACCTGGGGGCTACTGCCAGCTGCAAGAGAGTTAACTTTTCTGCAAGGGCTTGAAGGCAGTTTTTCTTTGCTGAACTAGCACTGGCAGAAATCCTTTTGAAGGGGATACGAAACCCCCTTTGCCTCTGAACATCAAAGCTGTTGCCTAAGTACCACTCCAACACCTGCAGGCATCTTAATTAATCAAAATGATGAGCCCAGTTAAACAACCCAGCCATTAAGCCCCAGCCATTAAACATCATCAAGCTTTATTTGGTTCCCTAAGAAACATCTTGATTAAATGTATTGCAGTTGAGGGTACTGTAGCTATGGAAATGAGATAGACGTTGTTTACAGTAGTATCCCAATAAACTGCAGGTTGTCATCTCACCTTGTTCATGCATTCTATCCTCCAGTTGTGGTGGTAGAGCCACCATTCCTATTTTGACTTGTTCCTGTCTTCTGTCAGAACTATGGTGGTCTGCTAAAGTACACAGCTCAGCTTGCTCTGTGTGTTTCACCTCTCTTCATATTCCCCTTTGTCCACATACTGACCTTCTGAGGCAAAGATACTTTCCTCATTCTACAGCCTGAGAAAGAGAAAACCCAGAAGAGTTGCTCCATATAAACACCTGAAACAGAGCAAGGACTTAAATTTAGATTTTCCCCTTAAACATCCAGTCTAGCTTCTGGGCTGCTCTCATTCCCATCTTCCTCCAGGTCTGTTGTTGGTATTATTGTATACCCCTTGTATTTGTTTTAAAAGGAAGACTACTTCATTTTTCTACTGTTCAGTTTAAAGTTTGTATCCAAAATTTCTATGTACTTCTTTCATTGTGTGAAACTCCACTTTATTGGTATCTGTTTCCCTCCAGATAAAGTTTATCTAAAATAACTAAGCTGTATCTATGTGTACAGAAAGATCTCTCCCCTACAGCCTACAGAGTAAGTAAGGAGACAGGACTGATATTGCTTCTGTCTTTCTCATCTAACCTTGGGCCCTGATGCTCAGCGCATGAGACTGGACTTCTGTGGGCAAAATGGAGCTCTGCAGCATCCCTTGCAGGCTGCCGTGCACACTGACACTCAGAGGAGTGCAAATACACAAAGGAAACTCTCAGTGAAGTAACCTCTGTCCCCAAGGCCTCCCAGATTTTCTCATTCAGGTAGCAGGTGACTGCTTTTAGCAGTATCTACTCTGGATGTTTGGCAGCACGGGCTACTGGATATACTGCAAAACAGACCGATGGGCAAGGGCATGCACCAATGCCAAGCCATGCAGGCAGTGCCTCGAATACGTTCATCAGGCTCACTGCACACTCACATATCCATTGCTCGTGCACCTCCTCATGCTGGAACGGGTGCCTTTGAACCTGCTGGTGTTGGCAGACCTTTACCCTCTTCTCTGCAGCGCCTGCAGCTTGGATTCATCCTTATTCTCTGAGATCCCCTTCAAGAGCTGCTGCCATGGACAGTCAATCACTGTTGTCTGCCTATGGTCTCGGCTCCAGGGAAGGTGCCTGGAATCTGCTGGGGGTTGGGTTATTTCTTTCCTGTAATCTTCACAAACAGGAGACAATTTCTCTCTTTCTGTCTCTCTTCGCTCTCTTTGTCTTCTCCTTCAGGTAGATTTTACTTTCAGATTGTGATGCAGAACAGCCAGTCCCTGTTTTTCCTTTTCCCTCCCGACTGTTTGTTCCATGCTTGTTTCAGGGGACTCTGATCTCTCCTTTCCTAAGTAAGTGCTTTATCTCACTTCCCTCAGTCACTCTCACATTAGGACCTTTCTCACCAGAGTGTCTTCACAGGTAGCTGTTGACATATCTGACCCTTGCTGGATGTGCCAAATGTTGGTGAAGTGTGTGATTCATCTCCCCTCACTCAGCTTAATGCTGGGTGAAGCACTTTGTTCTTCCTTGTTATGCGTCCAGTCTGTGTGCATGGGAAGGGGACACAAGCAGGAGCACCACGGGCAGAACCAGGATTGCATTAAGGCAGTTATATTGAAGGACCACGGCACAAAAGCAGCAGATGCTGCAGGTCAAGGCAGAGCTGTGTGAGGAGTGTTGACAGAATTGAGGAGGGACCTTTTGGCACGGGCACAACCTGCTTGAGTCTATGCTTCAAACATAGCCAGCCCCACAGCTGCCTGGTGCAAATAGGGCTGGTTATGAAGGAATGGGTCAATTCAGAAAAAGTCAGAAACGTTCAGAATTTCAGCCCTTCCCAAGGCCTGAAAAAATTTCTTTCTCCTTCCCAATGTCTCTGTGTCCCAGATGAGTACTTAAAGAAGTTTTTGAGATCCAGTCCAGGGCAACAGTGACACAGACAACAGAGGAGTGCCTTTGGTTTTGGAGTATTTCTCTCAATCCATTGAAATCTTTGACCACTTTGGGGTTACTCATCTCAAGGTCTCCTTTTCATCTCTTTTCTCTGT